GTTATCTCTTAATTTCCAAATTCCAAAGTTATCACCCAGAAGAGACATATTCACTAAGGATTTTCTCCACTGAGTGCTAGTACAAGCCACATCTGCTTCTTACACATATGAGGTGGTACAGAACTGATCTGACAACTCATTTCTTGAAGTTCCTGCAAAATCAAGGAACTAGCTACCAGAAGAAAACCCAGAAGTTGAAGGTATATACCCTGAACTTCCCATTAAACTTTACAAGCATGGACACAAAACAAACCAAATAACATTGGCATAGAGAATTGCAGCAACAAACTCCAGTAAAGTTTCCAATCTTGTACCTTCCCTCACTTAGATCTATTGCAGTGTCCCCACCTAGGTAGGAGCAGATCGCCATGCCTAGTCACTCTGTCTGCACCTGTTAAACGGTTCAGGTGATGCTCTGTCGACCTCAAGCCAACTGGCACAGCGCTGCTCATACGCAAACGGCTGTTCTCTCTTGTCCCCAAGGCAAGGCGGTACCCTCCAAACGCTTAGTAAGCAATTACTGGCCTGGGCTAAACCCAAACTGTGCCCAGGCACTGTTTGCGAGAATGGTAGCTGGCTCCTACTAAATCTGTGCTTGGGACCATGCTAACTAATTAGCTGCACAGCCTACAACATGGCAATATTGATGTTATTTAAGGGCCTTATTAATACTGTTGTTACTATTACCATAATATTATGTTCCACTTCAGTGCAGAGCTGAGGATGTAATGGTATTTTGTAAAAAACTAAATGAACCTCACAGTACCCATTCAGAGAAGGATGTGGGTTTTATCCAGTTTACAAACTAGGAGACTGTGAAATCAAAAGACTATACAATTTACATCTCTTCAAAGAAATGGCAGTAAAGAGCCAAGAATAAGGGATGGGACTCCAGATTCTTACTGCTCATATTTAGCTGCTGGACTGCTATCCATGATGTTAAATTAGTCATCGTTTCTCACAGGGAAGGCAGGCACGAGCTCACAAGAAAAGCTGTGTGCAAGAAAAAGGGTTATCGAAGTACTCACACACTAAAAAGAGTTACCTAACTGACAAAAATAGGCTGCTGTAACACATTTTCATGTCTAGGCAGCAATTCTCCTCTACATCCCAGGGCTGGAATCCTGTGTGGGGAAAACCGAACTACTCAGTATATGTAAAAGACAGGCCTCATTAACTCTTGGACATCTTCTCATTTCTTGGTCATAAATCCTATTACCTTGTATTACAAACTGCCATAAAACTCACAGATAAAAGATAATTTATGCTCAGTGTACAGAAGCTAATGTTTCTGTACTCCTGAGAAGCACACAACCAGAAAATGAGAAAGTATGTATGTGAAACCTTAAGCCATTCATATTGAGCATGGCTAGCATGATAAACATGACTCTAAGGGCCTAATGCTCTTCAGCCAGGGTATATTCTAATGGTAATTGATATTACCAAAATTTCAAGCATAAAATGTACGGACTGTTGCATAAAATATCCTGCTTATAAAAAGTGATTACTCCTTATTAAGAATTCAGGCTTTCCTCCCTCCCCGCAACATCGAAAGAAATATGATGGCTATTCAGTACAGAGATACTTTTTATCCTCCTCTTTTTTTTTTTTTGTTTTAAATTCCAATCATAACATTAGAAAATGCTTCAGAGCAAGCATCACCTCCTGGAATTCTTACACATTCTCCCTGTTTCTGATTCCTATCCTAATTAGTGTTGCATGGCACTCAAAAACTAACAAACCTCGGAGCTGGCAAAATCAAAGGCAGCTCAATCTTTTATTTGCATTTTCTCTGAAGCAATTTAAAGTCTTTGGACTTCGGCACTGATTTTAACTGTGTTGGTTATCTGCTTAAAGGAATATGTTGCTTTAGTGACGACTGAGCAAAAGATGCACTAAATTTTGGCTGTTTGTCATCAGACGAGAGAAAGTCTTTCACTGTCAACTTACAACTTCTGTAGTTCCAAACTATGTTCTTGTTGCTTGGGCCCTTTCATAGATGCACCTCAATTGATGTCTACTTTCTTTTCTTAAATACTTGTTTAGTAATTTGACCAATATTGGAATTCATTTATCTAAATTTAGATACCTACAGCGTACACCTAGATCTCAGCCTACCACCCAGATTCTCCACAGAGTCCACGGAGACAGGTATTTATGGGGTGTAATTATTCCCATCTTTTTTCACTTCTCCACCTCTCATAGCCCATCCTTACAGGTCAGAAATTAATATAAATGGGTTTATTTCCTTGTAGTTTTCTTCACTTTCCATGCCAAAACATTTTTATCAATATATTTCAAAAACCTGTACTGTCTGTCCGTTTATTTCCCAAGAGATGCCTCAGTACTCAAAATGGCAATTACCCTTACCTTCAGTACTTGGATAATTTTTGATTGACGAAAAAAGGCTGTGTTGACCTGGTCCTCCTTGCTTGGCAGTCTGCAGTGGATCCTAAATCAGGCATTGTCCTTGCTGTCTTCCTCTATCACCCTGAAGACTTTTAGCAAGTCTGTAAGCCTGCTTCCTACATCACTGTGGACCCTTTATAAGTGTGTTAGATACTGAATTTTTTTTTTTGCTGCACCCCTCTATATCAACATTGTAATAATGTGAAATAACTCTTTCAAAGCAATTATTTAATAGATTTTATAGTGTACTCAGATATCTACTCACACCATCCTCTTAGTCTCTGCATTAGTAACTAAAAATTCAGCAGATTGATTTGTTATTCCCCTTTGTATCCTTCTTCTGGCTGTTACGGGATTACTAATTTAACTGCTCTACCCAAATATTTTAGCCTCTGCCTAGGTACACATGATAGAGAACCAATACTAGTCTCCCGCTATAGTGAACGGAGGGCTAATGTTATTTTGAAGCAAAAACATGGTTATGTTTTGCTCCTATATTTTATTCAAAGAATCCAATAAAGTTCAGATTCTTTTTCCCCAAGAGAGAAGGGTTTCAGATCTACATTTTGTAGAAAAAGCAACATGCTCTTAACTTTATCATTTGCATTAGCATTTGAATCTCAAAACTTTGCTTCATTTGTTGCACAGTTTCCAGACTCACATTTCAAAGTCAGTGGGCCTCCCACTGTTTTAAATTCCTTCCCACCTTGATTTTAAATTACAAAGGGGAGAGGGGAAAAAAGAGAGAATGTCATGACTGTGGCTGTTTACAAGAGAAAAATAGCACACTGAACTCCGTACAAAAAAAAAAAAGAGTACTTCCAAGCTTAGCATCCTCATTTCTTTCTGTGTGTAAATCACTCATTTGATTTTTATCTAAACTATGCAGGATTAACGTTATTAACTGGAGGTACCACAACAGTTGACTGAAGATACTGACAGTGACAAGTTTAAACCAACAACAAAAAGCAATTTTCTGTCAAAGTTAGCATTAAGATTGTTTAAACAGCCTGCCCCTCTATCTGCCCTTTATTTCTGAATACTAGAAACAGCCTGAAGTTACAAAAGTCAGTTACTGGCAATGCAGAGTGACAGCCAGGAATGGCAGAAAAAATAATATCCTGTGAAACTCTCCCCATCAACAAAAAAGTATTGAATGCTTCTCATACAGCATTATTAAAAACAGAACATAAAGAAGTTTCCAGCAAGCACAATCAATTAGCAACCTCCTATTTCTATTTAAATGCACAGATCATGAATTTTTTTCAAGTTGCAAAGGTTTTAATTATTCATTGAAGACTCTTCTGAAAGCAACCTTAGGCATGGTATTTTAAAGCCGCTTACAGAAAAGGTGAATGAAAAGAATTAAAAGTCTTTCCATTCCAAGTAAGTGTTTTGGAAGCTAAATTGGGAATATTCCATCTTATTTCAGCTTTTCAATATGTTCTTAAGAATATCCTAACATTAATTTACAGCGGTCAGTGAGGTACTGCACCCGCAGATCAATCACAAGCGAGTTACTCCTCACTTTCAGATTTTAACCACAGTTATCCTTTAGCCCTCTTTCCCCCTCGCTCTGCTGCCTCGACCCATTTAGCTGTGCAACTAATGATCAGAGTCATTCCTCGTCATACTGGCAAATGAGCTCCTGTGCCTACTATCTTTCCTGCAGATACAGTGCTTCAAAGTTGTTAATACAGCATCTCCCCCTGTGGATTTAAATCTATAATCTCATAGAATCTTATTAATGCTTTTCTCAAATTACAATGAAGCATGTGTGTGAGGGGTTTTGTTAAATTTATCCATGAATGTTATTTATTTTAATGAAATAAGCTTTCCAAGATAAAATGGGAAAGTTAGTTAAGCTTCTAGAAACCCTGACATCAGGAAAAGATATTTCCAAGTACATAAATGAATTGTTGTTAGAGAAGACTCTTTGATGCTTAGAGTTGCCTTTAATTTAAAGCTTAGAAGAAGCAGCTCAGCAAGATCTTTTGTGTGTGTTGGTTTATGAATCAATAAATGGAATAACAGACCTGAAAAACCACAAAAATAACACATCTTAAATAAATTCCCTCGTTGATGCTAGCTGGATTCCCATCATAATGAACTGCACCACTCAGACTACATACGAGCTCTGCCTCACGTGTTTGTCAGGAACTCCCTCACATCTTCCTCTAACAACTTTCTTTTGTTTCTCTTCCTGCAGATATCCTTATTGCTACTCAATATGCAAAAGGGCTCTGTGCTAAATTTAAACTTACTGGAATCTAGTTTAAAAATTTAAGAAAATCTTTTTCATTTATAATCAAAATCCTGTATCTACCCAAATTCAATTTTCATACCTTCTGGATTTCTATGTTTCTCCCCTTTTAAACAAACCCATCCTGAATAAATTAAACACAATCTTTTCCAAGGCAGGAATACAGAGCCCATCATTTGCTGTCCACTTCCCTGCAATATTTTTTATATTTAGGCTCTGACCCTACAGAATACAATTAAGAAAATAATCATTTAATAGTGCAAGACATACAGGCTCAGGGTAGGTGGAAGGGCAGTTTTATTATGAAGTAACTTTTCATAACACTTACAGGTTGAAGCAGGTAAATCAGCGAGCACTCCTGGATAACTATCACTGGAAAAGGGGTGATATTTTTTGCATGAAAGAGCGTTTCAACTGATGCCATGGTTTGGTCAAAGCGTCCTCCAAGTCCGCCCAAAGTCACAATCAGATCGATCTAAAAGATAAAAGAAAAACAGTCACCAAGAAAACTTTCAAAGATGATCTCTAGACCCTGAGTATCAACAATAAAATCACTTCACGGGAAAAAAAAAAAAAAGAAAAATTAACTACTGACTATACAAAAGCACATGTCAAATACAGTTATTTACTCCCATTACCAATAAATACCATTGTGTGATTTTTGAGGCTGAGTATTAAAGCTCAGTAAATTCATGGCTAACGTGTGGTACTTTTAAAAAGGACATAATCGTTCCCCCTAAAATACCGGCCAGTCTTTGCAGGTATTTATCTGTCTGCCCTGAATATATACAGCCTAAGATATATCACTTCACATCTAAGCTCCTCAGCTAACTGTGGTATATCTGAGCGTTAGTATCCCCAGATCTTAACATCGTTTCAGTATTATCCTCATAGTTTACAGAGCAAATAAAGGAAATTTCAGGTTAGGGTCAATATATATCGTTCTTGTTCCTGTCACACAGAATTTTAATGTACAAGCAATGCCACTCACATGCTGGCTCTATCCAACATTAAAAGTACCATTGAAGTAGGAGATGCCACCCCAAGCAACTGGGACAGCATCTCCCAGCTGTCAGGGACTGGGACAGGGACAGCCGCAGTCCCAGACCCACAGAGAGCCCTACCTGACTGCTTGCAATAGGCCATGGAGTCGGACTGCTGCTGCAGCAGTCTGCAGAGTCTCCATCAAGACTCTGAACATTTTATTTCCTATAAGCAGAAAGGGACTATTTAAAAGCCTTGGTTAAGAGCTTTTGGGTCCTCAGATAAAAGGTCACTGAGTGCAAAGTATTATTATTATTACTTCCATAATGTGGATCGGTTACGTTCAGTAATTGTATTTTAAAAAGCTACCACCGAGTAAGTCTTATCTAGAGCCCTGACACATTGCGGCTCTAAAGTCTTTAGAAGCTGCCTTGACAATGGCCATCTGCTGAAGTTTCCAACTTTATAGGGCTTAAGTCTATGGCTACTGTGATTACATGAAGCTTTACTCAACCCAGGAGCCACATAATGGTGCTCTGTGTATCTGGAATGATGTATTAATAGCATCAGCTTCTATTTTTATTACCAGGGCTAGGGCTTTACGATTCTGTTGAATATTGGTTTGCATGAAAATTAAGCTCTTTTGCTTTTGGTGAAGAATTATATCATCTTTCTCAGCACCACTAGGAAAATACTTGAGAAGCCAGAATGGATCAATATACACATTATATTAGCAGCAAACATGGAGACAAAAACCCTACTCTTGTACTGCAGACAGTAGTATTTTCTGTGCAGATTACAGATCACACAGACCGAACATGCAACCAAGAGCATATGAATGGTACAAAACCCTATCCTCAAACAGGAGAGAAAACAGCAAAAAGCATGTGTTCCCAGCTAAGCCATAATACATTTTCCATTTTATCGATTCCAGTGTAGAAACAAACTGCTTTTGTTGGACTGGTGATGACTGTGATTTAAAAGGGTGGATCAATTCTCTGAAAACAATAGTACTAAAACGACCCAGCAACACCAGTTCCCTACCAGACAACTAGCAGTAAACATGCCCCCCACCCCAAGACAGGCCATGGGGAAAATCTGCTACATTAACCTGGAACCACAGTGAAGTTAAGGTGGCTTTGCAAAGGATCAGGATCCACAGTTACGTTGTTTTTCTTGTGAGCAATGGGACTGACGCTTAAATATTAGCCTCGCCTAGTCTTCAAAAAGCTGAGCAACTACTGTATAGTTTCTCGGTATGTATGTCTCACCATACATGAACTTGTTTGTTTTGGCTTTGATGTTTTCTACAGCTTAAAAGGCAATGAAGGAAACATAGAGTTCCCTCTGACTTGTAATTAAAATGATGCGATAACATTCTGAATGTGTCTTCTCTCCCTTGTAAAACTGTCAGTATGTCAGAAAAATCTTGCTCTGTTATTCACACGTATACTTACAGTGAAGTATAGGACCTATCTCAAACAACGAAGTGCTCAGTGACTGCAGCTTTTTGTGACAGAGACTGCCAGAGTACTGCAAGTTGAAGAAAAACATAACAAAAAAATACTTCTGTATTTTAAAGTATGACAGAAGTGATCCCAAAGTCCTACTCCTTATGCAATAGCAACAGTGCAGTGATCTTGTGGATTGGTTTTGAAAAAGTAAGAAAATAAAACCAAGCTAGCATGGGGTAGATCTGTCAAAAAGGCATTCATAAAACAGAAGTTTGCGGTTGTGGCGTGTTGGGAGAAGGCTAATAAAGATACCTGAAAAGTGAACGTAGCTATTATTTAGGGTTTGCATGGATTGTGAAAATGAAAACCACAAGTATGTGTGTGACAGGTACACAAACAAACCAAGCTGGAGTATGAGAGGAGCAGGCAGAGAGAAAAAGCTAAAATTTCCATGCTGGTTGACAGTCCTACCTTTCACTGGATGGTCTTGGCAGCAGGGACAGGCATCCAGACATTGTAGGACTTTTAGAGCTTCTATTTGAAGGTCTAGGTATACAGACTTTATTTAACAAAAACACAGAGAGGCCAAGTCCAACAAAAACCCCAAAAGCCTTTTCATCCTAAAGTTATCACCTCCGTTAAAAAAAATGCAACACAAAAACCCACAAACTAACAAAACAACCAGTTCCTTCCCTGCAATCACTGCTTCTCTCGCTCTGCCAAACATTTAAGAAAATGGATGTGCCATGAAAGCACATACACAACTCTTGGTCATTCCAGAACCTAAGACAAAGTGAATACCAAAGCAGAGGACATTTATATATTCCCACACTACAGGCAGGAAAGGCCATTCATTTTTCTACTATGATTTCCTGTATAACACAGGCCACAGAATTATACTGTTACTGCTAATCAGCCCAGCAGGTAGCATTCGACTAACACACTGTACTTCAATTGAAATGTCCATGTTTCACTTAAATGTCCTGTCACCAGTCCCCATACGCAATTTGTTTTCAAACAGTGTCATTCATTTCCTGAACAAAAGGTATAAAATCTTAAATAACTACAAAGAATAGCTTAGATCATTGCAGGCACAGTATAGGGGGCATCGTATTCTCTTAGACTACCTATAACCGGACTTAAACATATTGTACAGCATCTTTAAAAGCTATCGAGCTTTAATTTAGAAAGAGTTGAAGCTTTAAGGGAGGGATTCAGTCATGTTTAAGTGATACACTTATAAATTATTAGTATCTCTTGAAAACGTTTTAGGAGTCACTACCAAACAGCAGGGCAGTTAAAAGGAGAAGGGAAGTACAAAGTATAAAGGCTTTGTGCTGGCAGTTCAGGGATGTATTTCTTCCTTCTCCCCTAAGCTGTAATTTAGAGGGTGCAGTAACCGAGGGGAGCAGAGGCCACCAACCCATCAGAATGAATTTGCTCAGGTTCCTGCTTCTGCTCTCACAGAGACTACTGAAACGGACAACTTGCTGTAAACTCTTTGTAGGCTTCCTAAACATTCTCTTTCTGTAAAAACTGGTCCAGCTGACATTCATCTTTCTGGTATGGATAGGTTAAGTACAAAGAAGATTTTCACGGTATGATTGAGGAACACGTATTTGAGGAGAAGGGTGAAAGGACACAGGAAGCTGGGAACTGCCTGGGGTGGGTGAAAAGAGTGCAATACCCAGCTTTGTAACGTCAGCATCGCCATGACATCTAAGAGCAAAGTCCAAGGCTGGAACTGACAGCAAGGTATGATCATTCTTTTCAAAACTGTGCTCTTATCTCTGATAAGAAATCCTCTTCTCAGGGTATGAGCAGGGGTCTGGACAGACAAAGGACTTTCTTCCACAAGAGTTCAGTTTCAGTCAGACAACTCACAAACAAACATGCCTAAATCTTAAGAGAGGTGCGTAGAGGAAACGAAACACATTTACTGACAACAACCAGTAGCACTGAATGAACTCTGAAAAAGACCTCCCCTAAAGGAAAAAGGGAAGGCAACAGGAATCAAGATGTCCTAAAATCTCTGGAGCCATGAATAAACCTCCCTCCCTCTGAGACCACGCAGACCATCCACTGCTAATACCTAAGATACTTCTATGCCAGTTACCAGGTCAGATATTTCATCTGATTCAAACATAGCTTCCTCTTATCACCTTCTCACTTCACAGATCTCTTTTCACCTTGCACAGCCTTTCTTAATTTCCTGTTCCTTTAATTTAAAATTTTGCAGGAATATGATATAAAGAATAAAATTATTGTAGTAACATGCATAGTATGTTGAAGTATATTATATGCTAAGATACTTATACATTGAAGTATATTATATGCTGAAAAGCAAACAATTAAGTAGTCGTGTGAATGCTACATTTATTATTGCTTTACCGCTTTGACACTTAATCAATTTTGACCAGTTTACAAGAAAAGCATTTTTTTCTTCATAAGGCGATTTTGTCAACTCAGGATGTGGTTTGAAAATCCAGATATATCCTTCCTGGCCTCTGCATCAGCTTCGGCACTGAAGACTTTAAAACACAGCAAGCACTTTCCTTGGTAACAAATGAGCCGGAGTAGATTTCAGCTTATTCTCCCATAGTTGTATTAGAGCTCTTGTGCTGACCAGATCACAGTGATTTTTTTATCTCACCCACAAAATTGCAATGCAAATGTAATGAACTATCACAATCCCACAACCCAATGCTGAATATATAGCAAGATATTGTCCATTTTAGTTGGTTATACTGGCTCTCTAGCTCAGTGTTTTACATAAAAGGTATGGCATTCATTTTCTACAGGAATGATGTGCCCAGCCACACAGCGGCATCTGAACTTTGCTCAGGTAAAATCCTCATTACTCTAGCCAGAATCATTGCTTCAGCCATCTGACTCTTCATGGGAACAAGAGCTCTCAGCCGAAGGCTGCCATCCTGTCTGTGTACCTCAGATGACAACCTTCAATCAGCTTCATCGTCACCTCACCGATTCCACTACTCTTTATACTATATTGTTCCAGCTCCCTCACAAAACATTTCTTGCTTATGTTCATTTTCTTACAACTTTTCCCAAGTGCCTTCTCTATTTGTAACCCTTCCCATTTCAAATAAGAGGTTAATTCTTTCCGCTAATGACAATAAACAGGCAAACAGATTGCATTTGTCTGCTTAAAATAAGCAACGTGCATGATGGTAAGATGGAAAAGGGAAAGATAATCTTAACATCCAGTCCCAGATTTGAGCAGCTGGCAACATCTTAATCTTGATTCTACTATTGACTTGTGTTTACATCTCTGGTCAAATGACTTGATCTCATTTCAGTGCTTGGGCTTTGCTCTCTCCTGCAGGTAAATGAAACATTTGAGGGTGTATATAATATCATCTGGCATAAATTTTGTGGAACATAAACCATTGACTTTATTTTTTCTTACTTACAGAAACCTAATCTACAAAATCCGTGTGAACTGCTGGACCCCACGCAACCTGAGTTTGACTGTTTGCTCTTGTGCTGAATATTCCTGTACGACCTCGATCAAGTAGAACTCCCTGTGCCTCAGGTAGAGTAGGGACAGCAGTAACTCCCGCTCTGCTGCTGCCGATCAGCTGGAGCGCAGCTCTACAATTTGTGCTGCGTGTGAGATCAGGGTCATTGAAATTCCTTACTGCCTCAAATTTTCTGGGTGAAGAGCTTGTCCCTACTCCAGACTGT